GTACCAGACTGACAGTGGGAATAAATATCGTGGAGATGTTGATTAGCATTTGATCCCAGCTGGGCCTCTGGAAGCTGCAGCACTGGAATGCCTTGGCAGTTTTTTAATGCTGAATAATTTGATTAGATCAGTGGCTGAGCCTGCTGCTCGCGGTGAGATAAACCCTCCCCGCACGCCGCTCCCTCCCTGCCTGCCTTTGCTTTCTTTTATGGGGCCTTAAATACGTCGTTTAATCAACTCTACAATTTCAATTTAGCACAGTTGTTGACTCGCATGGATGATAAGGTTCTGGAGACCCCACAGCTTGCTGCCTGCTCTAACAGTGCCGTTCTCCACGGCCTCCTGGCTCTGCTGCCGAGCCCAGCCTGGCCCGGCCCGGAGGGGCTGATCCCCGAGCCGGGCTGTCACTCAGCCACGGGGACATCTCCAGCCTCTCCGCTGTGCGATCACCACCAGGGACATGTCCCCTCCACGCGGTGACACGAGAACAACCAATGGTTTGTGTACAAAAACACAGTAATCACACTTTTTTTTTTTTTTTCTTTTCTTTTCTGAAACACTGGAAGCATGAAGACACAGGGTGGGGGATGGGGGAACTGCGATTACCCCAGACCCCTCAGCAATCCTACTTATACACGGATTTCTGAAATGTCCTTCTCCCCTTCTTAAAGAGAAAAGAATGGGGCACACACCTACACTGTCTAAACCATTTCTACTTTTAATCTAATTTAAATAACACCCCTGGCATTCATTTCCAATAGGAGAATAATCAGTTCAGAGGGTGGCCAGCGAGAGTGGAGTGAACAGCCCTGACTCTTCCACTGCCGGTTTTCCCGAAACACCCTGCTGATGGCTATTTCCAAAGTGTATTTTAAGTATCTTCTTATCGGTAGAATACCATTTAAAAGCAGCTGAGCTTCCCCTGAACCACCGAGGCTCCACTGTTCCATTTCTCCCCCTACATCAAAACCGGGAAAACCCTGAATTACAAACACAGCCTTTTCTATCAGAAAAGAATTATTTTATCTGCAAAAGCAAAACTGTGTATTTTCAGCCACTGACCCAATCCCGGGTAAATAAACAGGCAGAGAGACTCCCTGTGTTTGCTGCCACTCATTAGCATTCCCGGCGGGTGTGAGGGTGATACTATCTGACAACCACCAGCTCAAACTTTCTCCCTTCGCTTTAGTCGCTTGTGATTCTCACGCACAATAAACAAACCGGCTCCTGCTGCTGCCCGCCCCCTCCAGCCCCCCCTGCACCGCTCCCGCAGCTCTCCCGCACCTTCCCTGACCTCCCGCACCTGCGGGACAGCCCCCGCATCCCCTCTGCACCTTCCGCACCTCTCGGACCCCTCTGCATCCCCTCCGCACCTCCCGCACCTCCTGCACCTCTCGGATACCTCCCACACCCCTCCGCATCCCCTCTGCATTCCTTCTGCATCCCCTCCTGCACCTCTCGGACCCCTCCCACATCCCTCCGCATCCCCTCCGCACCTTCCTCACCTCCCCCACCTCTCGGACCCCTCCCACATCCCTCCGCATACCTTCCACACCTCTCGGATACCTCCCACACCCCTGTGCATCCCCTCCGCACCTTCCTCACCTCCTGCACCTCTCGGATACCTCCCACACCCCTGTGCATCCCCTCCGCACCTTCCACACCTCCTGCACCTCTCGGATACCTCCCACACCCCTCTACATTCCCTCTGTACCTCTCGGACCTCTCCCACATCCCTCCGCATCCCTTCCGCACCTCTCGGACCCCTCCCGCACCTCCGGGACAGCTCTGCAGGACCCGGAGCACCGCAGGACTTGTCCCAGTTGAGAAGAAGGATTCATCCTGCCAGTGCACGGGCACCTTGAAGAGGTGGCACAGTGGCTGAAGGGGGGTGCTGGAAGTGCTGCTGTCACCCCTCGGGGCAGGGACAATGGCACCTCTCAATGGGGAGTGCAACAGGTATGGCCAAGACCCCTCTGAAAGCACAGGCTCCAAGGAGGACGAGGCAAGGCACGTCAAACGAGCAGGTTTGATTTATGTTGAGCATTAGATTCTTTTCCAACTGGTAAAAGAACATGTTAAAAGCATAAAAATAGCCAAAGTGGCTCATCCCGGGGAGAGAGCAACGGCGAACACCCACTGGAGAGCACAAGCACAGAGCAAGAGAACAATGATACTTCATCAAGCACTCTATTAACCTCCAGCAATTTATGGCTCAAGATCCTTCAGAGCAAGAAATAATGTCTATGTATGGATGTATGATGGATTTTCCTGACATTAATTTGTCCGGTAACTTTTTGAACCCATGTAAATTTTACCTTGCACAGTCTTGGTGAAGGATCTGAGAGCAGCCTCCTTCCTGCTGGGTTCAACCTCTGCCAACCCCCTCAGAGCCCTCAAAGGAGCAGCTAATCCTTGTTCACTGCCCTGGGTTTACAGATTTCTGTTGTGTCCCTTCCCAGGCTGGAAAGCCTTGCCCCATGTGGGAACCCAGACCTTCCCTCTGGCTGCCCTGGCAGGTCTGGGACCCTGGCAGGGGTCAGGAACCCCCCTGGACAGAGCCCCCAGAGACACTGGCTGTGATCTCTGCCCATGGAAAAGAGTTTTCAATCTTACAGGATGAATTACAAGCTCTGAGTGTTTGATATCAGTAATAATTAAGTGTGGCATGGGTGCAAAAGTAAAATTTTAGGATTCTAGATTAGGAGTCCAAAGGGGACAAGATGGAGGAAATTGGGTGTGCCTTGTCCTTTTTCTCCTTCTTCATGCCCCCCATGTTTCACTGTGGTGTTGGCATTTTTCTGTTGGTTCAGGCTGGGGACACACTGTCCAACGTAGGTGACAGATATTGGCACGTTATTGTAAATCCAGCACAGGTAGTTTCTGGTATTTAATGTTTGTACCATCCCACTGAGGGCAGAGCCCCACACGCTGCCCTGCAGGACAGAGCTGCGGCAGGGCAGCAGAACATGTTAGAGATAAACAGAATAAACAACCTTGAAACCAGCACAGACCAATTATGACTTTTTTGGCAGCGGGGCAGAAAGACAGAGACTTTTACAATCTCGGGATCATCAATACCTCAGATTCCAACAGCCCCAGGGAATCCTGACTTTATCCTCGCTCATCCCTGGGCCCTTCTCTGGACCTTCCTCACATCTATTGCCGGTTTTGTGTTGTGGATTGGGAACAGAACAATGCAGGATTCAGGGCAGGGCTGCCACACAGATGTCAGTAACACCACAGTGCTCTTTCTTCAATCCCTACTTTCCCCCTAATTATTCCCAAGATTTGGCTGAAAACTACCAGATGTAGAACCAGTATTTCCACAGAGTTATTTGTTGCAGCCTTCAATTTTCACTCCTGGGTGCTGGCCCCCAGTACAAAGTCCTCTGTGCTTATGACGATGAGATTTCTATTTCTACAACGCTTCCAGAGCTCAAGATTTTACATCTGTATACCTTGAATTTCATCTGCCCCTGCCCAGCCTTCCAACACCACACCAGCTTGTCCCCTGTTTGTCCCAGTTCTCCAGCTGGTGGCTATGACAGCAGCTCCACCATCTCTTCCCTCTTATTCTTCATAAAAACAGGTCACATTAATCACTTTCCAGAATTTTCATACCAAGACAAGGTTCCATCTGTGGAAGAGTTCATGGCCATGTTGGATGGGGTTTGGAGCAATTTGGTCTAGGAGAAGGTGTCCCTGCCCACGACAGAAGGTGGAACTGGATGAGCACTAGATTCCCTTTCATTTAAAATGAAAGAATATATAATGCCAGAATTAGATTACTTATATCCCATTTGAGCTGCTGGGCAAATACCCCTGGTTCCCAGTTCTTCATAAGCATTCAGATGATTTTGTTGCCTTAAAACTGACACCAACACTTCAGCTCGAACAGCTACAGCCACAAGCCCATGGCTCTGAGCTCGCTGTGCTTGGGCACAGCTGGAACCAGGGCAGGACATGTGGGAACAGGGGGGAGAGAGAGTTATGGGCATCAGAAACTGCAAAATGCCACAGGCAGGGATGCAGGAGCTAAGCCTTTTGTGTCAAAAACATGACACTTCCAACAAAACACGAGGCTGTTGCCACGTTCAGGATGCACAAACAACCAGAGCCCTGCATCGGCCTCTCTGGCTGTCGTGCACCCTCTGCACAAGGTGCTTTGCCTTGAATTAGGAACAGGATTTGTTTCTTCAAACTTTTGCAATTTTAACATCTGCTTGTTTTGGTAAATCTGACAGGGACTCTCTTTTGTCTCTTTTATTTTATTTTATTTTTTTTTAAACCAAAATTCTATGAAAAGTGTTTTTAAAAGTGCTAACTGACAAGCCTACACAGGCTGCCTCCACTCAGGGAGCACTGCACAGTTGTTAACTTGTTAGACAGGAGCTAGATTACAATCATAAATAAATGATTTGCTGTCTCCTTACATTCAGACATGTAGCTTTTAAAGTGTAGCTGTCATCCCTGAATCAGATTTAGTCAAATGCTGTGTAACTGCAAAATTATCCTATCCTTACCTTTTTTTATTCTCCATATAATGGACAGTTAAATTGGATTTTCAAATTTGAAGTGCATATGTTTTTCAAATCCCCACAGGGTTGCCATTTTTTCATTTCTAAAGCAACTCACTAATGTTTATCATTACCACACAGAAATATTACAATTCTTAAGGGGCACCTTATAAAATAAGTACAGGAGAAATATGCTTTATCGTCTCAAAATGAAACCAATTTCTCAGCTGATTTGCAATTTATTTACATGTTAGCATTGATTTTCTGCTGATTTATAGCCCCACATGCCTGTGTCTTTGCTGCTTTCTAAATAAACACCATCAGGCTGGGGAAGGCAATACTGAATTACGGAGCCTTGTTCCAGCTTCTCTCTATTAATGAGTTAAATCTTTTACCAATAGTGCCTGGTCTCCCCGAGCACTGAGTGCAAGGAGAAGTCATGCATGGTATTTTATAAGGCTGGAGTTCTGGTATGCTATAAATAATCAGGAGGTGTGGAGAATCCAAGGGGAAAATAGAGATCTCAGGAAAAGCACAAGTGAAAAATGTGGTCTCGCAATTATTCTTTTTTTCTAAGCTATAAATTTGGAGATGCAGCCACAGCTCGTGGAAACCAGTGCTGGGGACATTTTATTTTATGCAGCCATTTAGGACCTTCCTTCCATGGCAGCTTTCCAGGGTACCTGCTGCACACCTGGGCTCCTTCATCCAGCATGTTCCATACATGAGCCACGCAGGTAATGCCAGCCCGTGCTGAGGATTGTTTCTGAGTAAGTTTTATAATGGCAGGTAAATTATTCATTGGCATGTAAAATAATACTCTCAGCCTTAACTAACGGGGTAGTAAAAATAACCCCCGGCAAAGACTTCAGCCTTCCAAGGCTCGGATCATCAATAAACAATCCGAGAGCGCCTTCGGAAGGACCCAGCGTGGTGAGGGGCGATTCGGAGGGAGGGGGCTGAGATTCAAATGTGCATCAGTCTGGGTGAAACGCGCCTTTTCCGCTCTGTAAGCTGCATGTGCAAATTCTATGGATAATTAATGCAACAGTTCCTTCAGCAGCATCAAAAGACCCACTGTTTAATTCAACATCCTACAGGCGCGGTGTGACAGCAGCGAGCAGCGTTATCCCTGGCAGTGAGTGACAGAGGGCATCAAGCATTCCTCTGGAATGCTCTTGCATCTCGCCCGAGTGGCACCTCAGGTGTGGCTGAGCTGCATTCATGACAGGAGGTGCTGCCAGCCCATGCCAGGCACGGAATGCCAGCCTGGCCGGGCACCAGGCTGCAGCCATCCCCTCCCTGCAGCTGAGGGACCGGCTCTGCCAGCACTGCCCTGGGCACCAGGACATCTCGGAGGAGCTGGGAAGGGATTCGGCCACTGCAGGCGCCTGTGGAGAGGTCACGGAGCTGACATTCAAAAGGCAGACACCAGAACCAGCCTGGGCTCTGTGCTGCTGGACTGGGGCCACCTGAGCAGCCCTTTGGTACCCTTCTCCTGCCAGGACCGTGCACCCGTTTTCCAGCCTGTTGATGCTCTGGCCCAGTCTCAGGCACTGGAGCTCAAGTGTAAAAAAGGCAGAGCAGGTCACAGCTCAGTTTTTGGAGGGCTCACAGAGGCTTTGGCACGGTTGTGGGCCGCCTGCTCCGGTGCTGCTGTGGGATAAGCTGGTGCCCGATGCCCCCCAGCCCTGGAGCCCGCCCAGCCTCTGCCCGGGAGCACACGCAGCGAGCATTGGCGGACTCCAAATCCTGCAAATCAAACTCCAAATCTCAGCAATTCGATTCCAAAGCGTCAGGAAGGGCCTGACAAAGGAGGAGCCGGGTCTGTGATCTTGCCCCATCCCTCCTCTGCGGCACCGGGTGCTCCCCCCAGGCAGGGAACGGGCTGTGGCAGCCGCAGCAAGGCAGCAGCGCGGGGCTTTGTGCCTGTGCACATTTGTGCTTGCTTAATGGTGGGGGTTTGTTTTTTCCTGTTGACATTGATCATAATTGTTACCCCATCGATTGACACACAGCCTGCTCGACGGAATAACAAGGAATGCTCCGTGCCAAATTATTCACTCTCCACCGGCTAAATCGCGCATCCTCCTGCAATCAGATAACAAGCGCAGCCGCAGCTGGAAAACAAAGGTCCTGCAATTCCGAGTGGAGATGTGGAGAGCTGGGCAAGGAGTGGTGGAACATCAGGCTCGCGGTGCTCCCAGCGCCTGTCAGCGCCGGGTGTGTGACAGCAGTAACGACACCGCCAGCAGCGCGGGCCCCGCCGTCTGTGCAGCTCCAGCCACAGGGACATGCAGGAGGGAAAACGGATGGCATCCGCTGGAATGGGCTGAGCCTCCCAATCCAGCCGAGAGCAAGGCAGAAAACCAGAAAACTCTCTCGATTAGAATGTGGATTTTGGAGCCCAGGGAATTTCCTGCAACCACACATTAATAAATAACCCGTCCGAATTTGGGTTGGTTTAAGGTCACAGGGCTCCACGGAGGGCAGGGGCCATCCCAGCACTGCGGTTTTTGCCTTGTCGGGGAGCACTGGGATGGGATGGATTGTGTCTCGGAGCCAGGCCCCGTGCCAGCAGCGAGTGGCTTCCCTAACCCTGTCCTCGGAGCGTGGAAGGTGTCACCTGGGGCTGAGCACACGCTAGAGAAGCATCAGTAAAAAGTACACTCCTCCTCCAGCAGGAAAGTTTCCTTTGCTGAAAATCACAGCTCTCCCATTTAATTCTCATGAATATTCATCCGTGCGGGGATCTCATTCACAGGGAGACCGAGAAGAACTGGTGGGTGCTTATGCAAAAACACAGACACTTGACACCAAAGATGCTTGTTTAGTTGATGTGAAATCTCTCCAGTTTTCTTTCCCCAGTACATACACGGGCTTGGTGGGATGAAATACATTATCCAGAGAATCATTCATCAAAGACCTGGAACGACTCAGAGCGCATGTGATGGATCAGGAAAATGGCCACCTCGGCAGTGGCTTAAGGACAGCCAGAAAGACGTTTTGAGCAAAAATCTTCCCGTGGATTTGTGCTGGAAGCGGGGTTCAATAGGGGTCTGTCTATACCATCGAGTGCCAATCAAGCAGAGTCATCTCTGCAAATCTGTGGCACAATCTCAGAGGGAGCCGTGGCACGGCAGGGGCTGGGCTGGGCAGGATTAGTCAGGAGCTAGAAAGGGATTAGGAAAACCTGACATGAAAATGCTTCACTTTGTGTGCATTTTTATAGTGTGAGACTATATACGGAGAGCTGTTATCCCACGGGCTGCCAGGCAGGAGCAGGGAAAAACAATGAAATATATTTTGGGGGGAAAAAGGGACTTGGAAGGAGACATCCTCCCAGTGTGGGAAGAGCGTTGCTGAAGAACCTCTCCTGACTTTTGGGGAGCTGGACAGGCGCCATTTGCAGGCACTTCTGAGAAGCTTTCCCAGCCTTTCCTTGTTTTCTTTCCCGTTGTTTTGAGTTCAGCCGTCGTCAGAGGCAGCTCCCCGGTTTCTCCTGCAGCACCCCGGCCCCGCAGCCCTGGGCAGGAGCTGTGCCTCCATCCCGCTCCCCGCAGGACCTGGGCAGGAGCTGTGCCTCCATCCCGCTCCCCGCAGGACCTGGGCAGGAGCTGTGCCTCCATCCCGCTCCCCGCAGGACCTGCTGCTGCCGCGGCTCTCCAGAATTGCCTTTTGAGAAATCAGGACAGAGAACAGGGGAAGTGAAGTGGGTCCTCAGTGACGTAAGTGTTGCAGAGCTCCGAAATAAGCCGGGCTAGCTAATGGCTTTGCTAAACACTGCAGTCGCTGGCGATGATCTCCGTGGCCATTCCCTGTGAGAGAGGGCTGAGATCTGCAGGCAAATCCCGACATTTTTGGAGCCGCGGTGGGCCGCACGCTCAGAGACGCGCTCGCATCCCCGTTCCGCTCGACTGCAGCTTCGCCGTGATGCGGCAGATTGTTTGGAGGGATCCATGTCAGGATATTTTAGGGAAGCCAGCGCTAGCATTGCTGTGAATACAACATCTCTGCGCGTCGCACAAATCCCTGCCCTGCTCGGAAGGAGCCTGGAGCTCTCTGAGAGCTGCTGCAGGCGAGGACAGAGGGGCTGTGCTGGAGGCAGATGGAGCCGCGCAGCTCTGCGGGGATGGAGCCTGACTGTGCAGCAGCGCTCGCTCTTGTCCCAGCGACATCCTGAGGGGTCCCAGCAGGACCCGGGTCCCGCAGGATGCGTGGCACCCTTCCCTGGCACCGCGGGCAGCGCGCTGCTGACGGCGGGCACTCGCACCCGTGGGCGCCGGCGCCGCGTCTGCGTCCTGCCGAGCAGTTTGGAGAGAGCAGCAGAGTGACTTTGTTCGCATCAGCCCACAAACTGCTTAATTAGTTAAAAATTTACTCCAGATTAACTTGGCTTGAGCTGGCCAGTCTGCGGTTTCCGCTGCCCCCCGGAGAGGGGACGGGGCTGGGATGGGGGAGCAGCGCCGGGAACACCACCCCGGCTGCAGGATCCCCTCGGATCCGCTCTGCAGGAGCTGCAGACTCTTTCAGCAAAGCCAATTTCAGTCAACCTGGTTTCTCTAAAATACATCGACTTCAGTAGTGTTTTGTACAAAGGGAAGAAAAAAAAAATCCTAAATATTTTCCTTGGGATAAACTCCTGTGTTAGAGCCACGTCCCTTTCATGCTGTTGCACATGGGCTGGTATTTAAGGCAGGGACTTATTGTATAACCCAGTGCCTGTGGGATTAAAAAAAAAAAAAAAAAAACAGTCTCCATGGAAATGGAGGCCATATCTTTTGAAAACTGTATCAGAGCTCTCTATCCTCTCCCCTTTATCATTGTATTTTAACCTACCAGCTGCATATTTAAGAGCAGAGCTTGCAAGATGATCTTACCCTTTTTTATTATTTTCCCTTATGTGTTAAGGGAGGGAATACTGACAGGGACAAGTGACAGCTCGCTAATTATTCCCTTACTGCCACTGCTGTTCTTGTTTTGGACGTGTTGCTCATTTTCCTCTGCTCTTCGCACTGAATAATGCATGGGTCCCTATCAGTATTCATGCGGTACCTTCGGGAACTGCCAGCCTAACTAGCTGATAACTGATTCAGTTTGTAACCGGTGCCTTTGGGAGTTGCAAGGAAAAGTAGCCAAGAACAAATTTAACACTTCTTTCTCATTGCCTCAGAACATCAAGGAGAGGTACAGGAGGGCTGCGCACCAAATCCCTCCGTTGCCCGGAGCTGTGGGAGGTGCGGAGCCGCAGCTCCAGCGCTGGACGCGGCCGCGGGGTCAGCGGGATGCGATGGCAGCGCCGGGAGGGAGCGGGCCGGGCCGCCGCCATCCCGAAGCAGTTGTTTGCAGCAGATGCCCTCTCTAAGCTTCGCAAGGAGGTGCCAAGAAAAGCCACCCCAGAGCCATCTGTACTCGGGAGCGGCAAACCGTGCGAGCCCGGTGCCGGTGCCGGGAGCGCTCCGGGCTATCGGCTGCTATCGGCGTGGCGGGGACCCCGCCGGGCTCAGAGCTCCAAGTGTCGCTGCCGGGACACCCCGCTGACCCCGAGCAACGCTGAGCATGGTCCCTCACAGCAAGGTCTGTCCCGCTCCAAAGCAGCTTCCAGAGCCCCCTCCCATCCCAGGGAGAACGCAAAGCGAAGGAGGATGGGTAAAGCCATATCCTCTCTTTCCGTGTCTGCTAAATACGATTATGAGAGGGAAGAAAGGGAGAAAGCCTGGCATTTCCTGCGTGCCACGTTTGTTAGAGGTGCCTTGTTATGCTGGCGCTGCTGGAAGCACATTTCCTGCCCCATAGGCTCACTCACTGCACGGAGCTGCTCTGCTGGAAGAGCTCTGCCCCCTCCACAGAAGGATGAAAAACCGCTGTGAGCAGTTGGTTGAATATTCTTACTCGAGCTTTTCATCTGACATGTGTCAGATGGTGTGACCTTACCCACCCGTAATGGCATGACCTCAAACGCCATCTCCACGGCTTTGCTCCTCTCCAAGTGCAGATATATATATTTAAAATCCTGCCATGGAGGAAGAGATGCCTTGGGTTTGGGGTTGCGTCAAAGTTGTCAGACGTGTCTTCTGCAGGAGCTGAAAGCAGATGGGGAGATGACCTCGTAGGCGTCCATCATGCCTCATGTGAGGGACAGAGCTTCCAGCAGGAAAATTTTAAAGGTCTTTCTTGGAGCTTGCACTAGGAACTGTTTCCTTAGTTCAAACTCATTGAACTTTGTTGAGGAAGTTGAGCTCTTCCCTCCAATGAAGATGATCCAGATGAGTGCCAGGCAGGAGGTGAGGTTTGTGCACAAGGGCCAAAGCTCTCGAAGCACAGCCAGACTTGGGAGCAAATTCACCAAGACCCAGCAGAAGAGCCACATCTGGGCTGTGCTCAGGCAGGACTGGGGTGTGGGGATTCCTCACTGACCCCTGAGTGCCGTCAGCCTCTTTGGAGACAGGCTGGAGCTCTTGACTCAAACAAAACTGCTGTGTGTTTAATTGATCCTCTCCACTGTTCCCACTTCAAGCTTTTCTGCACTTCCTCCAATTCCCTGCCCCCAGTGCCCGTTGACCAACTGGCCACAGCAAGAAATCCTGGGTGATCTGTCCCATCAGCCCTTAAGGAAACAGGCAGGCCAGGTGGTCACTGACTTGTTAGGGAATCAACCTCTTCCTCCTTCTGGGTTCTGCAAAACTTGGCAGCAGTTTGTATTTAGAACTGCTAAAACCTGTGGCTAATCAGGCAAAATTAGTGACATCATTTAAAAGGTAAAACACTAAATAATGCTGATCTCTTCATCTCACTGCCTATGATTACAGCAAAAAAAAAAAAAAAAAAAAAAAAAGGATGTCAAAGAGAAATTGAACGACAGAATTGAACATCCCTCAGCAATGGCTGCACTCAGATTCCTTGTCCCCAACCTGCTGGAGAGGTTTGGCTCCAGTGGCAGTGGGCACGTTGTGGGCTTGGCAGCATCATTCCTGTGCCTGTTCCAGGGAACAATTCTCCCCAGCCATTGTAAGCCTTGGAAACACGTTCACCAGTGTCTGTGGAGCCTCTGGGGAGCCCCTTGGAAGACAAGGAAAAAAGCCTCAAGATACTGTACGTCAGTCTATCTCTCACTATAATTACCTTTATTGATTGGGGACTCATTTACATTTCCATATCTCCGAGTTTCCTGTTAGTGTGCCTGTTTAGATGTGTTCATGGATCAGATTTCAGGAGATTTAATCCCAGGGAAAAAAAAAAGCCTTGCTATGTATGAACTCCATGTAAATCTCAAAAGAGAGGTGATGAGGCTTTATGGCAAGAAATAACACCAGAAAGCGTCGGATGAGCGGAAGGAGAGAAGAGGGAGCGGCCATGGCAGCAGAGCCATTTGTCACAGCATCCCCAGCACACAGAATGCTCTGCACAGATTTCCTCATTTTAGGGAAGCCCCATATTTCCTCAAAACAAAAAGCAGAAATGCATGAGGAACACAAAACCACCAAACCAGAAATTCGTCTCTCCTACAGGTTTGTGATGTGCCTGAGGGGAGAGCTGCTCTCGCAGATGGGGACAGAAATACCTGCTTGGCTTCGGCTCAGGACTGGCTGAGGGTGGCTGCTCTGCCCTGAACTCTCTCCCTGCTGCTGACAGAAGTCCTGCTCATGTTCTCCCTGCTGTGCAGCCCCAGGTGCCCTTGCTGGTGGCAGAGCTCACCCAGCCGTGGTGCCCCCTCACCCCAGAGCCATGAGGACACCTCCAGCTCTGGGTCACCTCCCCGGGGAAGCGGTAGCAGACAATGGGTGCGGGGAAGAGAAAGTCTGCAAGTGGCAAAAATACCTTTCGATGACAGAAGGGGAGCAGTGAGAGTGCCCGGGGGGAGTTTCAGGTTAGCAGTAAGTAGCTGTGATCCCCAGAGGAATTTAAATTGCTTTGCACTGCTTCTCACCAGAGTGAGAGGGAGGAGTGGGAGAGGGTCAGTTTTCTGCATCCCCACGGCATCACACCCTGTCACAGCACATCTGGGACCAGATGTTCACACGTGCATCACACTGCTTCCCTGACTGGGGGAGTCCCAGTCACTGGGGTCGGAGCAGTCGATGTCCTGACAGTGATCGGGGCTGCAGGGATCCTTGGAAACAGCCCTCACCTCTCTGCTCAGCCCCTCGCAGGCTGCCTGCTCCATCTCACCCAGACTAGACACAGAATCTGCTCCAAAATGGATGTTTTTCACATTAAAGAGCTGCACAAACATTTTATTTCCCATTTGTGGCCCTTTTGCAAACAGCAGAGAATCCACTCTTTCCTCCAGAAGATTTGTGTCTGAGGGAGCTCCCAGGCTGACATAAAGCTGCCCATACTTTCAAGAGGCCTCTCTGGTAAGCTCTTATTTCTTGGAACCCTTCCCAAAATGAGGCAGTATCACTTATGGGAAGCAGCAAACAGGAGTGATGTGAAGCCCTGAGAAACCCTTCCCGCTTCGGCAAAGGTACAAGTGTCAAGTCTCTGCAGAAACATCAATTATATTTCCTGTTCAGCTAATGAGATAGCAGTTGGCAAACATCACAGGTAAACAGACATAGCCTAGCACATAATTTGGGCTTTTGGAATCATATTTTCCTGTTCCTAAGGTGTCCCTAAGTGCTGCACCCATACTGTGCCCAGGTAAAGCCCGGAGTAAGCCACGGAGTGCAGTGAAACCTCAGTGAAATGTCATGGAGCTGGGGAAGGAGCAGCTGAGGGAGCAGGAGGGGCTCAGCCTGGAGGAAAAGAGGCTCAGGGGGGACCTTCTGGCTCTCCAAAACTCCCTGACAGGATGGTGCAGCCAGGGGGGTTTGGAAGAAGCATTATGACAAGAGGAAATGGCCTCAAGTATCTCCTTACCCTAAAGGGCTGCCCAGCCCTGGCACAGATGCCCCAAGCAGTGGGGTCACCATTCCTGGTGGGATTTAAGAGACATGTGGATGTGGCACTTGGGGGAGTTGGGTCAGTGGTGACCTTGGCATTGCTGAGGGAATGGTTAAACTTTATGATCTTAGTTGTCTTTTCCATCCCAAACGATTCCATGATTCTGCAAGAGACCATATCTGATTCAGCATTATTATTAATCCCATATGTAGCTTATGAAGGGAGGAAAGGCAGTAATTAAGTGCAGTCATAAGTGAAAAGAATTGACCGTGTGTTTCTTGCCTGATCGCAGGCAGTGCCTGGTGTTTACTCAGTCATCTGCTGCTGGTTCTGTAACCCTGTGTGCCCCCCTTGTCCCAGCCCTGGGCACACTCAGGGGATGCCCTTCAGCTCCCAAAGTTCTCCTCAGAAAAGGGAAGAAACCAACTAAGGAGTAGAAAAATGGTGAGAAAATTCAGAAGAGCAAAACGAGTTGGTTAAAAAAAAACAAAAACCAAAAAAACAACCAACAAACCAAACCCAAAGCAAACAGAAAAACCCCAAACCCTGACAGGCAGCAAGATACAAAGACATAGAGGGCAAATACCTTCAGGAAGATGGTGACAATGGCAATGGCACAGATTGTGGTGGTCCAGCACTGGGCAGGGTGGGGCAGAGAGCCCTCAAGAGTCCCCAGGATCCCAGGAAGAGCCCCAGAGCCTGGCTACAGCTCAGCATGTGGCTACAGGGCTCACAACTGGCCTTTAAAGGTTGCAGGGGGATTATTCCTGCAATCCTGCTCCTCACAGGTGGCAGCCTGGGGCAGGTGAAGCATAACCCAGGGTGGGGGTTGTAGACCTGTAGGGAACTGGGTTTGGGTAAATTTTGTGTGAGTTGTCTTTGTAGTAAGGGGATGGCTTCTGGGCAAAGAATAAAAGTGATTTTAGTCCTTTTTTGAAACAAAAATAAAGAAATGTGTGTCTTCTGGGAGATGCTGGTGTATGAATGTTGGTGGGGATGGTCCCCAGCTGTAGTGAGAGGGTGAAGTCTCTGCTCCTTGGGAGCTCCTCTGCAGCTGCTCTCTGAGACCACTGGGAAAGGTCCTTCCAGACCGACAGTAAGGTGACCCTTTTGGGAAAGAACACCGATTATTAACAATGTCCTGGGAAGTCATGAGCCATGAGAACATGAACCCCAGTCTGGCCCTACTGCAGCCAGTTCTCAGGTATTCCTCGATTTGGCTTCAGGTCTCTGAAGTAAGGATGAGTTCTGAGCTCTCTCTGAGTTGTTCTCCTCCCTCAGGCACTGCAGGGATTTGGGTTTGTCCCTGCCTCCAGCCACTCCTCACTGTCTCTGTCACACCACGGTGACTTCGGATGCTCTCCGGTCCCTCCTGACACTCTCCAGCCTCTCTGGTGGCTCTGCCACCTCCCTTTAGCCTCTCTGTGGGACCTCCAGCCCCTCTCCAGTGGCTCTGTCACACCACGGTCCCTCCACTTTCCCACCCGGCCCTCCTGCCCCGGAGGTTGTGGCTGCTCCTCCATCCCAAGGATCAGTTTTCAGCCAGCCCCGCGCTTTGCCCTCAGTCAGACTATTTAGTCTGGTTTTGGTGACCCTGTCTGACTGCTCGGGAAGGAGCTCTCAGGTTTCTCTTTTCTCTGCAATCACTACAGTTTTTTTAAAACAAATACCTTTGCGCCTCAGCCTCTCAGACAGGCTTAAGGTGGTCCCATTTGCCTTCCTCGTGTGAGGAGACACGCTGGGAGTAGCCCTGGGATTTGCATTCCTTTGCTCTTGTGCTGTGGGAGTGCAGGGTTACCTTCCCTTATAAATTGCTGTGGAGTGGCCATTCAGGGCTAATATCTACAAAAATTCCCTTAAAAACTGAGGAATTCCCTACTTAATATCCAGGCAGGGCTTATCTCTGAGCACGAAAGCAAAGACACTGCTCGAGTTTTCTTTGGAGAAGTGGTGATATAATTTTTGATTTGACTAATACGTGCTGGAAAAGCCCCTTGTGCTTTAAATGCGAATTCCAAAAGCTTTAAAAATTGCCACAAACTCTTTCCTTCGTGCTGCTCATGGTGTCCATGGCCAGGCAGGAGCTCATCCTGAGCCTCTGCACTGTGAACCCGGGGCTGAGTCAGTAGTATGGAGGATGGAGGGATGGATGGATGGATGGATGGATGGATGGATGGATGGATGGATGGATGGATGATGGATGGATGGATGGATGGATGATGGATGGATGGATGGATGATGGATGGATGGAGGGATGGATGGATGGATGGATGGATGGATGGATGGATGGATGGATGGATGGATGGATGGAGGGAGGGATGGATGGCTGGTTGCAGTGCTCATCACTCCATTTTGGTTTAATTGCTAAACTCCATTTGAAAGAGTTGATCACTCATCAAGGGCTTTGCCTGCAGCATCCACAATCCAACAGCTGCCCAAGGCACGGGGGCAGCTC